AAGGCAGCTCCCAGAGCTCCTGGCTGGGGGCCGCCGCCGGCGTCCTGCGCAGCGTCACCCGTCTGGAATTCCAGTGGAAATCGCTGCCCTGTGCATGGCCCCGGGACCCTGGGTTCCAGGGGGATGGTTTGTGGGTGCAGGGGCCCCCAGCTAGACTCTGGCCACCTGTCTCCCCCACACGGGACGGGCTCCCACCTTCTGCCGGCCGGCCGGGCTTCTGAGCGTCCAGGGGCGAGAGGACCCAGCGCCCTGCACCGAGGCTGGCCCTGCAGGTGAGCGGTCAGAACTGGTGACAGGCGTGAGGAGGCCAGGTCTGCACACCAGCTCGGGCCGCCCGGGCAGGGCCCATCTCCACCCAGTGTCGCTGTCACTGCCCTGGCTCGGCCGTCACCTGTGCCAGCTGCACCCTCTCCCCCACGAGCCCCGTGAGGTGAGGTCAGTCCCGGGAGCAGAGCTCCCAGGCAGGTAAACAACGATGTCCACCAGTTGTAGGTGCAACTCCCCAAGGAGTGAGTCCCCGAGAGAGGAGGAGGGAAGGGAACTTGGAGTGTGTCTTTGTGGATGAATGAATGACGCTTGGGCTTGGGTGTCTGCTCCAAGCAGCAACTGGGGCTCCCCTGCCCTCCCACTGGGCCCCTGAAGGTGGGGGCTGGGCTAAAAAGCCCCCTGGGCCACGGCCCTGTCCATTGCACCCCCACCCTGGCCTGGCAGTGATCAGCTGCCAGACCCAGAGACCGACTGCCTTTGGGCAGGAATGTGCCTGCACCTGGTAAACCCATCACGGCCCCCAGACTGCGGTCCTGGCGCCTGCCTGCTGGCACCGCCTGGGAGCCACACCTCTGGCTGGGCTGTGAATTCCTGCCTCTGGCTGGGCTCGTCCCAACCTCCCCCCTCCCCCCTCCCCTCCGGGAAGGCAAGGCAGTGGGTGGGTCCCGGGTGAGGGACTCCGTTCACGCATTCATCCTTTTATTCATTCTCCCCCTGCTCACAGGTCCAGCACCACCCAGCTCCCATTTTTGCTCGGGGAGGGCAGAGGGTGGGGACAGGGACAGGGGGTGGGTGGGGGGTG